ATGTTTATATATGTAATATATACATGCATGTGCGCCTACTGCCTAGTGACTATAGTACCTACTGTAGTCTATATACAACACAAATACACAATACAGTAAATATAACCTATTTCTAAAACCACTTCAATATACCCGACCCGGTGAACCCAAATTATTATAATATTATTACCCAGTGGCAATGACCACCGCCACTGCTATGATCGACATATTACTATATATTATTTTTTGAACCTCGTAAAACGACAATTTTTTTTCATTTAAAGCATTCGCGGCCACTTTGATTCCTTATCATAGGTTCATATACACAGTGGCGTAGCCAGAGAGAGTGTCTGGTGTTTAAAATTTCCCACAATTGACTTTATTCCACTTATAAATGTATCATCTAAATCTATGAAAACTGTAAAAACTTGGTTTAATTTATAATTAAATTCCTCCCCTCGTTTCATAATCTTGGGTACGCCACACTGCATATCATATTTATATTATGCATATGGTTCTCTACATATCTATATCACATTAAAACTATAATAATGTATTATGTATAAAAATCGCGTAATGTCAAAAGGATACTACTTCTGCATTTTTTCCGAATACTTTTTTTTTTTGTTTATTACTCTTGTGAATAATATAGGTAAATGGTACAGCTATATCTAATAATGTATTAAATAGATTTTTGATGCGCGAATAACAATAATAATTATGACATAATAATATAGAACSGTAATTTTTTCAAGCGGACTTAGAAGTAAAATTTGAAAATTATCGTATAATGTCCCACATGTTATTTGACATATTCTATCGATTCATGTTTTCATTGCGATACTTATGGGCAAACTATCGTTTTTCGTACATGCAGCTATAATTATTGGGGACTCGCGTTCGTTCTTGTGCCAGTCACAATGTTTACATTTCCGAGGGGCGGYGGTTTCGAGGCGTATTATTATTGTTATCATTATAAATATTATATTATCCGTCGCGGGCGGGTGTCTGGCGCGCATACGGAAAAAAAAACAAACCCACTCAGATGCGGCGGCGGCGGCGTCGGTGGCAGCAGACACACGTCGGGTTATGACCCGCCGACCGGTTGACCCAAAGGAATCCGGTTCTGGCGCGCGGACAGTGGTTCGCGCGCGCACTGGCGCGTGTTCGTGTGTATATGATGTGCTCAGAGGCGCGCGATCGGAAACCGCCGAGCCACATTAAATTTTACTATCAATATTTCATTTTTGCTATTCTAAGTAGCTTGCGAAAATTAGTCTCGAGCGGCGCCGCCTACAATATCTGAATTTTTTTTTTTATCGCTTTTTATAATATTTTCCTYCACGACGCGAATGGAAACAGTCAAGACGATCGTCGTTCGCTAATACAATTAGAAATATTACTTATAAATACTTTAAAAAATACAATCACGTGTCTACATTTAGMTAAGAGAAATTTATTAAAATAAAATGTATATTTTTTATATAGGTTCATGTGTAAATACCGTGTTCAGGTGTCAATAACCGTCCATTAAAAATGTAATCAAATATCGGAATTTGTAGGATGTATACAGCTTTTTCCAGCCACGCGGTGGTGGAGAAAAAATATAGATTTTTATTTTTTAGATAAAAAAAAACCTATGCACAGGACTATAAAATCTTAAGTCTCAAATTATTTATTATTTTTGTATTCTCACATTACGTCGATCTAAAATAATTWAAATTTTTATAAATTGTATATTTGAATTATTATTATACACCTATTATATAATTTTTTTTTGTCGACAATTTTTTTACACTTTTAATATTTTATCAAGCCACCTCGATAACTAAAAATCATCTTTCTTAAAAACGCGTTATGTAAATAACAATATTTTTATAATATCCTATCGCACTTATAATAATACGCTATGTGCATACAAAATACGCAGTATAATAAACGCACTGACCTTCGCAAGTAAACTGTCCGTAGTGTTTGCCGCTGCTCTTGTCACCGCACACGACGCACTCGATGTTCTGTCCGTTCTTATCGCACTGTCCGCCGAGCGTGACCAGCGAACCGCCGGACTGCGAGCTGGCCGTGCCCGGCGTGGTGCTCTGCTGCGGCTCGTCCAGATGGTGGCCACCGCCGCCGCCACCGGGTGGGTCGCGCCACGCCGGCGTCACCAGCGCCATGCTCCGGGTGAACCCGCCGAGATCGTGGTGGTGTCCACTGGTCAGCAGGTCCGGCGGGCCACCGTGCGGCGGGCCCTGGTGCGACGGCGGCGCGGCCGAACCGCCGGTCGGGCCGCCGACGCCCGTCATGCCGGGACCGCCGCCACCGGACACTGTGCATAGTCCGCCTACCGCCGCGCGACACACCGCGAGGCCGTTATGCGGAATAATAATGGTGCTTGCCGGTGTGCACCTGAGCTTCTGCTGAGACTGTCGGGCTGGTGCCCCGACTTGGCGGAAGTGCAGGTGGTGCTGGTCGCTTACCGCGGGAAACCGCCAGGCGCTGCAGCACGAGATCCCGTTGTTCGGCCGAACTGTTTTGGTCGGCGAAATAAAATCACTGAACGAACGATTTTTTTTTTACCAATAACGAGGCACGAACATTTAAATTATCTTTTTAATTTTATCCCGATGGTGTATAACACACGGTGTAAAACACTTTTTTCCCCCGATATTGGTAACAAAAATTTTTATTTCGTCTCGTTTCGATTTGAGACAATCGAAAAAAAAAAAATTAAATAAAAACAAAAAAACAGATTTCGAATAACGAATAAAATTCACACGCGCGAAATGTGGCGGCACGGACGACGATCGTTTCGGATTTTTGACCTTTCGGAGACCTGGCGGCCGCGATCCCAGATCGGAGTGAACTGACCCGCGGGCCACCGGGTTAGGTTAGTAGACCCGACCGGGGAGACCGGTGCGCGGCGGCGGCGGCGTGCGTACACGACGGCGAAGGCGACTGTGCTGCTGCCGCCGCTCCCCTCCACCGCCGTCACCATAGCGACCGGGGCGCCCGGTGTGCTGCCATTGGCTCCCGACCCGGCCACCTCTGACCAATTCACACGCGCGGTCGCGGCCCCCGGTGACACAGACCGCCGCGCGCGCGACGACGGAGAAAAACCCCGTCGGACGACGCGGCGGCGGGTGGGCTACTCGCTCACCCGCCCGAGACGCGCCTACCGACGACACCACTGCCGCTATACCCCGACGCCCCCCCCTTTTGTATTTTTATATTTTTTTGCGCTTCAGTTTCACCGCAATAATTAACTCGAGTGCAATATTCCTCTGCAGCCTCCCCCGCCACACCTAGCGGCGTGGGATGACGTGATTCTATTGTTCGGCAGGCGCGTAGCACCTCTCCTCGCCGCCAGCCATCGATTTTCTGCTCGTCCGCCATCGRCGCCACCGCGTGCACGCACAGGTGACCGCGAACGAAATAATTTCCAAACCTATTTTCCCCCTCAAACTGACTGCTGCGTAAAGTGTATTTATACGCGTTCATCGTCGTCGTATAATCACAATGATAAAATAATAAATATAATATAATATAGATATTGAATATTCGGGGTTGATAAATTGAGTCCCAAATGACCCTTACTCGGTAAATTGAGTCCCGGGGAGAAATAGGTAGTATAGGTAATTTGAGTCCCATGGAAAAACGATTTTATATGCTTTTAAAATTTAAAAATATGCACTATTAAAAAATTTTATTTGTGATTTGTAGACATTCATTGATAGCATGTTCCTATATGATTTTGAATAGAGCATCATGCATTTTTAATAATTATATAATTATTTTTTATGCAATAAAAATGCATGTTGCTATTTTCAAAATCATATACATGCAGTCAACGAATGTCCACAAATCACAAATACAAATTTTATAGTGCACATTTTTAAATTTTAAATACATATAAATCGTTTTTCCCTGGAACTTAAATTACCTATTGCCTTATTTTTTCCGGGGCTCAACTTAACTATTACCTTTTTTTCCCCGGGACTCAATTTACCGCTTTCAAAATGTACCAAACTTATCTCGGACTCAATTTACCTAGCCCCTGAATATTATTAGAAAATACTTATTAGAAATAGGTAATATATAGGTACTATTTTAAATCGATTATTGTTGCGCGTACCTTTAGTACCTAGGTATATCTATATCTTTATTATATTATATCGTATTTGATAAATGCATMATTTTCGGTGTAATGCACTATAATATGTAAATTATCATATATAATGCAGTTGCATTCTTGCAGGCTCTATATTTAATACAGGGCATATACACGCAACACATAAATTATTAATATTGGTAGGTAAATCCGCGGATAGTGCAATAATTACCATTTACTATTTACCATCATGCATCGGTCGTACGCTCAATCTGCGGAAACGCACTGAGTTTACGTACCGGCCGCAGTTGCTAG